ACCAAGATTGGGTCTATAATTGGCCACAGAATAGAATACAATTGGTAGGGGTTCTGAGAGGGAAGCGGCACATATCCAGCAAAATTGATCCAGGTACCCGTCCCCCGAGGATATGTTACTAAAAAAAGATTTGCTTCACCTGTACTTTGACATCTCGTAAGGTCTCGGATGATCCAACAGTCAGTGACACTTCTCCTCGTTGTTTACGATGCCTGTAATGAACGCAATGATGATGAAATCTCAAAGAAAAGAAATAAAGAAAGCGTAAAACTAAACATAAATACCTGGAGCTTCTTCGTGCCTTCGGGTCGCGGTTAAGTTTTTGTTTCTTGCTGTCCGGTGGAGACTGCAAATAGAGAGAGGACTGGTGAGGAATGCACGTGATATTCACATGCTCCGGCGAGCTCATGTTCTATTGAAAACCACAGTATAATAAGATCTAATCTGGGAGGAATAAAGTCTAAAATGTCTAACGGATCAAAATATAAGAATTCCCCAACCTGGAAGTCTGGGTCGAAACAGTAACCGTCTTTGCTGGAAGGAGTCTGTCAAACAGCAATTATACCAGATAAATTAAAACAAACTTTCCTGATAATGATGATGATGTGGCATTTATAACACGCATTCTCCATACTAATTCTCTAATGCGCTTTACAACGCATTGCGGGATACTATGGTCAGACTGCAGTAAGCACTACAGTTTTCTGAGAGGAAATTTTGCAGGCTCCCCCAATTTTGGAAACAAGACCAGATCATAACACCGGGGGCTACGTTCCCTACTTTGCCAGAAGTGCGTGAGTTCTTTGATATCGCCTGCTAATCAGTACAAAGAAGATACAGGAGATGGGGCCTACGGTTCATCGTCCTTAATTAATCGAACAGACTAGAAAGTCTTAACATTTGCAGCATTAATCGAACAGACTAGAAAGTCTTAACATTTGCAGCAGTCACAGCAAAGGCAACACATCATCCACAGTTATTTTAAGACCCTGAGTGTTGGTCCGGTCTGGGGCTTGAGCCCTTGACCTCCCGCCAGTCTGGCACCCTACAACCTAAACTAACCAGGTGGCAGCCTGACCTTCCCTCGAGATGGTAAGTTTCTTCTACATTTAAAGTTCATTAAAGCCCCC